AAGGATTGAGGGGAGAATCTTGGGGATCTAAGGTCGAGGTTATTCGAGAGAGAGATCGTGGTAAGATGGGAGCTCAGTGAGATCTTGGGTCGAGGTGAGTCGAGAGAGAGATCTGGAGCTTATTCCTCAATGGTGTAGAAGCCTTGTAATTCTTCTTTATTATCTTAGTGGATTTGGTTGATTCTCTCCCGTGGATGTAGGTCCGAAGGACTGAAACACGTAAATCCTCTTGTTTGCTTGTGTTCCTGTGTTTGCATCTTCTTTCTCACTCCTTGGTCTACGTCCACGGGAGGGAATCAATCAAATAGTTCACTAAGGCAAAAGAAATGGAGAATACATAGCTTATACATAGAGATGAGCCCTCATCTTCCTTCTATGGCCTCCCTCTCAAGCGATACCTTGATACAAGGCCTCAAGATGCTCTACTCCTCTCCAACCCTCTAGTTATTCTCTCTTCCTTTGAGATTTCTTAAGATCTCTTCCCCTTGCTCTCCTAAGCCTCACACTCTCTCTATTTATAGAAGCAAGAGATTGGTAGGTGGGAGGTAGGTGGGAGGTAGGTGAGCGATAGGTGAACGGTAGGTGAGATATGGTAGGTGAGCGGTACCACATTACAAAAGTGCCCTTTTACCTTAGTTCATTAATTGGGGGTCAAAATAACAATTCTCCACCTTGACCCTCAATTGAGAAGCTTCGAAGTAAAGATTCCCTCCACCTGGCTCCTGAGGGGCCCTCAGCCCTTGCTTGAGTCTGCTAAGTCCAAACAGTACATGGACTTAGCAATCACGGTTCTTCCGATAAGAGAGTACAACCCCTTTTTCCTGACACGAGGGCCTTTGGTTACTTTGATGCAACCATTCTCTGCCTTGAACGAGCATCCTCTTGACTCCAACGTACCTAAAGAAATCAGATTTTTTTTGAGCTCTGGTACGTACCTGACATTTTTCAGTACTCGTTCAACTCCATCAAACATCCTTATCCTGATTGATCCACTTCCAACAACCCTGTGAGCTTTATTGTCTCCCAGTAGAATGAACTCATCATTTTCCTGTTGCAGTGTCTCGAACCAGTCTTTGTGAGGACACATGTGAAAAGAACACCCTGAGTCGAGGATCCACTCCTTACTGGATTCAGATTCTGTAATCACCAGGGTCTCAGCAGAATCATAGTCATCAGAGGCTACGCTTGCTTCTCCTGATTCTTCTGGCTCTTCTTGATACTTATTCTTCCTGTCTGGGCAGTTCCTCTTCAAATGATCTTCTTTGTGACAATGATAGCACTTGAAAGATCCTCTTGATGACTGATTCCCGCCATCCTTGCTTAACCTTGATATGTACTGACCATTTCTTGAATCTTTCTTGTCTGATCTTCCTCTGACAATAAGACTGTCTTCGCTGACTTCCTTGTCCCTATCATGCTTCCTCTGAAGTTCTTTGGCTCTAATCAGAGATTGAACCTCCTCCAGAGTAATAGTTTGCACCCTTCCATGGAGCATCGCACCCTTGAAATGCTCGTAGCTCTTAGGAATAGAGTTTAGCAACAGTAGTGCCTTGTCCTCATCATCCATCTTGACGTCGATGTTTTCGAGGTCGTCGATGATCTTGTTGAACTCATCGATCTGCTCTGAGACGGATTTGTCTTCATGAATTTTGAAGGAGTATAAGCGCTGCTTCAGAAAGAGCCTATTAGCCAAAGACTTTGTCAGGTAGAGTACCTCGAGTTTGGCCCAAAGTGCTTGAGCCGGTGTCTCCCTTGACACCTCCCTTAGAACCTTGTCGCCCAGGCTCAGGATTATCAAACTGTGAGCCTTGTCCAGCATGCCAATCTTCTCCTTCTCTGTCATGTCGGCCGACAATGCCGCCGACCCTTGCAA